AGTTTGCGTTATTTATTTACATTAAAAATATTTTGTATTTACTTTTCTAATCGAACATTTGATTGTATTGAATGGAAAACACTGATATGAAAGGACGTTAATTAAAACTGCCTAAAAAAAAATATTAAAAAAGAAAAGTTAGGCAGTTTTACCCTAAGTACTTAATAATACTAAACCGAATACTTGAGGGGGGGTACAAAAGTAGAAAATAGAACGTGAACCCCTTAATTTTTATAAGAACAAAGTATGCCTGTTTATCCTCTGTACAGAGTGCGTCGATATTTGCATTGTTAGATCATTCTGATTTCACTGTTTCGAAAAAACTGACTTCACAGTCGATTCTTATGTGGTCAATAAATGTTTGCTCATTTCACGAGGCTTGGCAAATATTAGCATTCTTATTTCGTGAGCACCTATTCCGAAAACTCGGATGGAAAACAGGATCTACTTTACGTTTGTTCGTTTCAAGTACGTATAATTTGCGATCACGGACGGATTCTGATCCCTTTGAGCACAGTTCTATAAGAACCTATTTAGTAGATTAATGCAACATTAATTGCAATCAACGTTGCCTTCGTTCTAATCATTCCTAATTCTCATGCTTAACTCTCTGTCCCTACAAATCCTCGAACGCAACGCTGAATGCGACGTATAAAAACCACAGTTTTTAGTATAATGATAAATTCTTTTTAAAATCTCACAATATTTGTTTGCGTCTATGCTTTCAGTTACAGGGAACCAACCCTGACACCTACAGTGGTTTTTGTTTAGTGTAAAAAGTAGGTCAGGCCTAGATTTGCAATCCTACCTATTCCTAATTTAATTCCTCTCCCAATCCCTCAAAATCGCTCACAGTTTAATAATCTAGAACTTAGATGATCGATCATCGACTGTTATAAGAGCAATTTTGCAGAGAGACGTAAAGGGAAGGTCAATCTGTGCTCTCGGAAGCGAAGCTCTCGAGGTCTACGTAGTGTCCGTTCATGTTGTCTTCCAACAGCTGCGCGAGGTCCCTCCTCAGTGCTTGGAATTCCGACCTGCGGTCTGGATCGGCGTGCCAACATCGGGATATCACCCTGAACAGCTCGCTACGGCAGTGCGACGGTCTCTCCAGGCGATAACCGTTCTGCACGTTCCGCATCACTTCCCTCGCCGTCATGTCCGGGTACGGTGTCGAACCTGAGGAATTTGTTCACCAATCAGTCGCCAATAACTACGTATTTTATTCTCTAGTCTCATGATAGCTCAGTTCTAGGGATAAAATACTTCAACATAGGCAAACGCAATAAATCCTGACACTTGAGGACTTAGGGACAACAGGCATTTAGGGTGTCACTGATGCACAATTATTCTGCAGTTATGGCAACAACAGGTCAAGAGACCTATAGTAGTTATCTTTATGGAAACACATAGACAAAGACAATGTCCTTAATAATTCTGGGCTGAAGGACAATAGACATTAAAGGGTGCAACTGATGCAGCTATTGCAACAAAAGGACAAAACAACTGCAGCCATTGCAGCAAGAAGACAAGATTAATATACATAAATTATATGTATATATAAGTGGAAATGAAGAACGAAGTACACTTATTGCGCTCACCTAGAGTGACGATCTCCCACATGAGGATCCCGAAGCTCCAAACGTCGGTCTTCGTGGTGAACAGTGAGTATATCAACGATTCGGGCGCCATCCACCTAATGGGTAACGCGTTCCTCCCGTGCCTCGTTTCAATCACCTCGCCGTCCTCGTTGGCGAATCTCGACATGCCGAAATCGGCGATCTTGCAGAGCTTGTTATGGTCCACAAGCACGTTCCTCGCTGCGAGGTCCCGATGGATGATCTGCGAAACGAAGACAGACACAGACATCGATCGATCGAAACCTCTCTTCTCATCTCCCTTGTTTTTATTTTATCAGATGATCCCCGACCGCAGGTGGACGTCCTGTTACGCAACCGCATCGCTGCGTACAGTGTCAAATATCGAAACGCATGAAATCGAATCCTCTGAGCTGGTCATACACCAGGGCAAATCATTATATCTGGTTTTCAGTCATTTTTGTTCCACTGTAATGAGGCTGAATCATTTGCACTTTAGAAAAGAGGACGTTTTGTGGGTCATAGAGGACATTTGAAGGTCATCTCTATTTTTTTCTTAATGGAACGCTATTTGGACGTAATTAGAACGTCACCCGGTATTGAAACAGCGGAATTTAAGTGGTGTAAATGTATGAAATACTTAAATATCATTGGGCGACCGGTTATGAGGCTGTGAGTCCGGCGCTGCAGGCATTGGGAACGTAGCCAGCCACGATTCGAATCAGTATCCTATGCTCGTCGCTGTAAGGACGACTTAAGAGCTGAACCGAGCCAGGATTGTCGATTTCAATCAAAGATTATATACGAGTTCGCAGAAATTCTTCTCAAGGCCGACGTGCACCGGGCGCTTAATTGAAAATGGGAGCCGTGCTGATGCACGAACGAGATGAGATGATTTAAAGCCCCTCTCAACAACTGCCGGCTTATTGGTTTTAAACCCCGAGATATCCCCCCCTTTTCCCCGGCTTCTGTCCTTTTACTGTCTTCTACACGTTAAACGCGGTGTTTATCGTTCTAAGTTCTTATCGCAATTATCAGTCTGTTATTCGTGATTAAGGTGGAATCAGGCTGGCGAATTAGCCTCAGGGGACCAAAGGCTTTAATCGGTACAAACTTCTTCGCGAGCTGCTGCTAATAAGACTTTATTGCTGTTCATACAAGCATTTTTAGCGGGCTTTCGCATTTTTGCCACACTGGCACAGATTCCGGGCCTGCTGAGAAAATATTTGAAGCAAACAACGCGACCGACCTTCGAATTTTCCTCAGGAATTCTTTTCACACCTCCTTGCTGTGAAACATTTTTTCTTTGTCATTTCTTCAGAAGAAATCATTCAGAAATCCAAAGGACTCTAATCCTTTCAGAGATTTAAGCTTTCTGTATTATTTTTTATCAAAATTGATTATAAATTCTGGCTTTTTCAACAATTTTTCTGTAATCTGCAGTGCAATTGTTATAATAAAACTGTTGATCGTTAATTAAACGAGATGAGTATTGACGAAGTAAGATGACTGGTGGCAATACTTTGGTATAATGTTACGGTAAGTAGACAGACGGTATCGGTATCCTTTTGGGATCCCCGGCGCAACGAGGACCACACGAGCACGCGAGCATGTAAAGTCCTAATAAATTTTCGGGCAACACCGCGGGCCCTCGTAAATGTAACGAGCAATACGAATAACGAGGGTAATCATTTACGAACGGGGCCTCGATATTTCACAGGTATTAAAACTTACCGCCATGGGTACTTCATTAAACTCTGCTAAAAGAGAAGAAGAAGAGGACCGATTAAACCAGCCATTCTTTTTCTTTCTTCCCGTACTTTGTCTACAGGTTTCATTTATACTTGTCATATTAAAGAATGTTTGCACTATCTTTCATAAGTTTCCAAGTTAAATCCATAATTAATTTTTCTTGGAAGATTTATTGAATAAATAAAGAACAGATATTATTTATAATAAATTTTTATAAAGAAGTCTACAGGAAGTTTCAGTTTACCGATTGATTTGTCATAATCTCTGATAATATTATAAGATATAAACTATAGACTCACCTTCTTGGATGCCAGATACTCCATCCCCCTGGCGACGCAGTAGGCGAAGACTGTGAGGTCCCTGGAGGTGAGGGCGGCTGAGTCCTCGCTGAAGTTATAGAAATCTTGCCTGGTCCGATGATCACGAAGGTACGCCAACAGCTTCCCGTACATCACGTACTCCAATATCAGATAATGAGGCTCTGCAAACACGCATAAACGTGACGCAAAAACAAAACGCACAAAACCTTGACGCACAATAATTGTACATTTGCGTTCACAGATTGCAGACAGGAGATACGAAATTTAGAACACATAGATTTTATTATAGAGTGAAATGAGCCAAATCTACATTTCATTTCTAATAGAAAATTCTAAACCCATGTTTCATTGATATAAATCATTTTATAACGGCGCGTCGTTCATAGGTGGACACGGGCCATTAACGACAAATCGGATGGTTGAGACGTCAAAACGGGCAACGAAACAATCGAAAAGTTTTAGTCTCGACGGCGGCGGCGGCGGCCTGGGAAAGAGGCAGGGCCCATTATACGCGTTTCGATCCGGGCCGGGTGCTCGGTATCGCCGGGTCTCATCGTATAAATTTCCATACGCGTCCCCGCGGCGACGGCAGCGATCGCCGGTGGCACAATACGTCTATTAAGTCTAAAGTTAAGGCGAAATGATCGTCTTCTCTACCGGCTCGTGGATGCCCCCGAGCGGGCCGATACGATCGAGCGGACGTCGATCTCGATTTGACGTTCCGCCTCGGCATTTATAAGGACTAGTCCACCGCCACCGATTGTATGCTAATACGCCGGAGCTGGTCTAGTAATAGAATTAAATTCACCGCCCCTTTCGGAAATGAATCGTCGATTCAACGATGCTTCTGTTTCCCTTCAATTAACCTTGCTTTACTATAGAAGTCAAGGTTTTTATGCTAAATCACATGTTCTTGGTAGCATCTTCAGAAATGGACATTTGTTTTATCATGTAAACGTGACTGATGGTCTCTGATCTTCAATTAGGTTGGACATTTTTAGGGTAGGTTAGATTAGGTTACTGCTTTTACTGTTTTATGAAGCGGAGGCAACCCGAGTGGGACATTCAATGGTGGTCGCCAAGGTTTTTATGCTAAATCAAATGTTCTTGGTAGCATCTTCAGAAATGGACATTTGTTTTATCATGTAAACGTGACTGATGGTCTCTGATCTTTAATTAGGTTGGACATTTTTAGGGCAGGTTAGATTAGGTTACTGCTTTTACTGTTTTATGAAGCGGAGGCAACCCGAGTGGAACCTTCAATGGTGGTCGCCAAGGTTTTTATGCTAAATCAAATGTTCTTGGTAGCGTCTTCAGAAATGGACATTCGTTTTATCATGTAAACGTGACTGATGGTCTCTGATCTTTAATTAGGTTGGACATTTTTAGGGTAGGTTAGATTAGGTTACTGTTTTTACTGTTTAAAAAAGCGGAGGCAACCCGAGTGGGACCTTCAATGGTGGTCGCTAGGTCAAAGGAGCTGCAACTTGCGGACTTCCCTGAATCTCCTGCATTCACTCTAAAGAGTGTCTAAGTTAGGCTAGGTTAGGCTAGGTTACTGTTTTTACTGTTTTATAAAACGGAGGCAATCCACGTGGACCTGCGATCGCTATTCCAAGGGGACCGCAACGTGCGGGCTTCTCCGTAACTCCTGCATTCCGAAGAGTGCTACAATTTCGTTAGGTTAGGTTAGGATATGCAAGATTCTTTGTCTTTTCTACGAAAAGCCTGCAATTTTTCTGTAAATGCATAAAATCTACTACTTAACGACCGTTGCATTGGTTGTAAAATACTTTTACGCGGATATTCCTGAAGAGAGAAGAGGTCCGAGTAAGAAGAATGGTTTTAATAACCGCGGACGATGCCCGAGGGTTTGTGGAGGACGCGGTGTGCTCGTTTTTGGGACTGCGAAGGTCCTTCGACAACGTTCAACGCGTATGGAAGAAAAAACACGGCAGCGTGAAACCTACTCGCAAGATTTACGGCATCTAAACTTCTGACCCCCCCACTAACCACCGTTCCACAACCTTCCCTCCCCTCCCTGTATTTATCGTTTCGGGCACGGTGGCCGCGTTCGAATTCCTCCCGCGGCGACGTTCTCGTCCTTTGACGGCCGGCTCTTGTCAAAAGGGATCCCTTAGACGAGTGAAAAAAGAGAAATGACGGCAATGAAAAAAGGCAGCAACCTTCGCCAAGGGCGGACTGTAATTTATTAACTCCCTTGTGGGAGTCTGCCACATCTTCAAGTAGGAATTTCATTTAATTTCGTTCGATTTTATTAAGCAGAAAAAAAATCTCCACTACTTTCGAAGATGAAGAGAAGAAAAATGATTAAACATTCATAGTTCTTTAATTGTTTTTGTTTTTTGAAACAGCATGTATATTTTGTGTAAGAAATGGAACTTGCCTTGCTCTGTGCAGCAGCCTAGGAGCGTGACAACGTTTGGATGACTGCCAAGCTGTTGCATGATCTCCAGTTCCCTAACAAGATCCTCCTTCTCTCGATCGGAAGCACCTTCCTTGACGGTTTTGACAGCCACCAATCGTGTCGTCCCTTGGTGTCCTGTCAAGTCATCGGCTTCAGCCTTCCAGACCTGACAAAAAAACAGG